CCTATACATCCTTAAATAAAAAATTTGTTTATTTTATGTATGGCTCGATCGTTCTAGTGTTAACTGGTCCCATTCACTATATCATAAATGTAAGACACATTTTTATTATTTATCTACAATTTTTATTAAACAGGCCAAAGTACTATTTTCTAAAATACTGTAAAGAAATCTGAAAGTATATGTGTTGTATTATGTTTTATTCACCAGTGCGTCCCTATTTCATTTCAATGTTCGTTACAAAATATTATTGATCAGATTTCATGCAAGTTTCCTTCACGAAATGTTTTGTTAAAAAATAGAAATGAACATGCATCATCACAAATGTGTTTCACATTTTTATCATTTGTCTACAATTTTTATTAAATAAACCAAATTAATATTACTATTCTCTAAAATTAAATATGAAAGTATTGTTTCATTCTTTTGTACATCCTTATTTCATTGTACGCTCGCAAGTATTATTGAAGACGTTTCATGCAACTATTCTTCATAAAGTATTGGAAAAATTAAAAAAAATGGAAAGTATCGTTGTACAGTGATGGTACACTAGCACGCAAGTTATACTTGATCCCATCCGTAAATCTCATGCAACCCCGTTGGTCACGCTTTTTTTCCCGGTTATTTCCAGGTGAGTGGGAACCTTGCGGGGGGGCAACTTCTCGCGTCTCTCAATACGCCTCTGCACGTAAGTCGCAAGACAAGATTTGTCTATCAATTGTGTCCGTACTACGTCTTTTCGTTCACTTTTCGTTTAAACTGGTTTTGCGTCGCAAGCTTCGCTAGAGCTTCTGCGAGTGAAAACGAACAAGAGGAGAACCACACTTACCGTTTAAGGAAACATTCCGCGAGACACGGTCGTAGTCACACGCCGGCTGCCAAACTGATCATTTGTATGAAAGCAAGGCATGAATTCGAGACTGAGTTCCGAGTCGCAGGACGAACCACGGAAATGAAAGCAGAAATAAAATGAATTATGATTTCGTTTCGCTTGCGCAGCTTCGTTTTTCGCTAAAGGCGAGCATTATCGGTCGGAAACGTTCGGACACGGCGCAATAAATTTTATAGAAGAAATTTTAAAGAAGATGAAATCGTAGAATGAACCGTGTCCGAATATCTCCGAACGATAATGCGCTTACATACATACACGTCACGCTGTGGCAGAAGATAAACTTCGTTCAGTATCATATAACCGTTTTTTGTTTTCGTTCCTTAATTATTTTCGTTGGTCGCCCGATACGTCTGACAAAGATTGGAAAGTTCGGTGACCAGAGATCATTTATATTAGTGGACTGACACCGGGGTACGATGTCGTTACAGAAACTGCGACTTCCCTAATGGCGGTCCTCCCGGTTACCATCCAGCCGCCGCGGCTCCGCCACCGCTGAGCACGGAATACGAGCGGCCACCTCCCTATTACTATTATCCTGGCCCAGGGTGAGTCTATAAAATTACCCTCCGCTCTCTTCACCACTTGCACTTGTTGTCCTCGGCTCGATAATTAATCCGGAATTCTATTTTGAGGAATTCCGACGACGTAACATTTCACGGAACCAATTCGGCCTCACGTACACGTGAATCAACGTAAATTACGATTTCTCTATTCGAGACGGCCGAACATATTTATTGTTCGAGGGGCGAGCGCCCTGTACAGGAAGAATCTGTTCAATATGATTCCAGGGACACTAATTAGGAAACAAGTGCCGTGGCATGCACGAAGCTAGCGTTGACTAGCGTCGCTACCCATAGTCTCACCCGCAGTTACAAAAGGACGCTAAGGAAGAAAGGGAGATCCGGATGCAAGCGGGACTACGTCTAATCGGCGGCGTTCCTTGTTTCTCGGCGTGCCACGGACTGAGCATGCGAAACGGCGAGATCGAACGTATATGTATTACGAGAAACAAAATCGAGTTTCGTGCAGACGCAGACTGAGGTAGGCTACGAATGATACGAAAACGGAAATTATAAACGGCGTGATCGGTACGTGTGCGATAACAATTATTATTATTATTATTATTATTATTATTATTATTATTATTTCGTTGATTAAGTATTATTTTTCTAGACTTATTTGTTGCGAATCGAATTGATTATTTGTTTCGTTTCTCTCGTCCCGTGATCTTCGCAATTCCTTTTGATTATTTAGTTCATTATTTGTTTTTCCTTTTTAAGTGTAAGACGTACACTCGTGCGAATGTTAATCGTTGGACAATTTAAGATTCTTTTAATACGACTGATACAATTAATATTATTTACCACCGTTTCCTTTTTTTATCCGAGTTCAACGTTTCTTCCATCGTACGCCATCGGCTCCTTTTTGTATTCTCACTCGTCTCCGAGATAATCGCCGTTAACGGGGGAATCTTTGTGCGTTGTAATTCTCGGGGACGAGGCAATTAGTTCGATAGCGAGGGAAGTTTCTCTTTGAGACCTTTTGAGTTTCCGCCTGGCGTTCGGTTCCTACAGGACTCGGGAACGATTACGTTAACCGCTTGACAAGAAATCGTTGGACAGAGCTTTTTCGAGCTCCTCTGCCGAAGATAGTATTAACGAATTGTTTGATCGATCGTGCCTAGCCCTCGTCGACTCACTGGCGTACGCTTCTCTTTTCCATCGAGGCACAAGAGATGTATCCCTCGACTACGTGTACATAAAGCCGCTTGTATCTTATTATTATCAATTATCACTCGAACTGCCTACCAATCAAGAATAAATAAATCAACTGCACAGATCGACTATGCGAATGATTGAGCCATCGCTCAATGCTCCGAATGTATTTACCATCGAACATAAGCCAATTTAGTTGATTTAATCTCAGATATTATTTAAACTGAGAAATTATAGTCTATTTGTGAAGATGCTTGAAATTCCCTTCTTATTAATAATACGGTGTTCGATTCGAAGGAGTGACGTTGAGCTGAAGCATGCCACGGTTTTATTACAAGCTTCGATGTTAACGATTCGTGCATACAATTCCGTTGAACACTGCCAGTCTTGGACGAATCATTAATTCCGTATAATTTATAGAATGCGTTTAAACAGCACCGATTTTCGTAATCGGTTGCGAAAGAGAGAGAGAGAGAGTGAGAGAGATAAGAGAAGTGAAGAAGAAGATCGTTGGCCACGATTCTTCGGCATCTCGAGCAGCGAACAACGCCATATTTAAATGCCAAACGACATTCTTCAACGGTGGATCGCGAGGCGTCCGACACAAAAGGCGTTTCCGGCTCGAACCTCGCAATCCACTCGTCCTCGATCTTGCTGGGTCGTTCATAGATTTAAGAGTGGAATCAGAGACGGTCTCGAGGCCTGATTTTGAAGCCCCGCCAAGCCGTGGGCAAAGGTTTACTACCTACCCGGGGCCCGAGTGCTCCATCTCTGAAGAACAACTTCACGAATTTCTATTCGCGTTTTCTCGAATCGAAATTCGCCTCACTATTCGACGCCTGTGAAAGTTCCTGAGGATTTATAGTCGAGAATTTATTCTCCGTCTCGGATATTTCAGTATTCCGTAGGTTTAAGGTTTCATTTGCGAATCCTCACGTTTAGTTAAATTCATTTCTCCTAAATAAGACACTTGAATTAATCGTCGAACACGTCTTTCATGGATTCCAGTGCGTCTCAAATCAAAATCTTGCAAAACCCTGAACTTCATAAATGGCAATCATTGTTGACTCACCCAGTTATTAACGCCAATATAAATGGCAATTATTATTGACTCACTCCAGTTATTAACGCCAGTTTACTTTAATTCGAATCTTGCATTATGAATCCACACGAATCTTCACCGGCAACACTTGTACATGATTCTTTAAGTAGTCGTTTTTTCTTACTAATTAAACTTAATCGTGTAATTTACCGATCTAAACTCTTAGAGGGACGTTCGCTCCTCGCATTTGGACGAACGCGAAGGTGCAGATGTCTCGTTAAGCGCATGCAACATCCGTACGGTACTTTTACAGTTAATCATTTGTGAGCCTCTAAGGGAGAATTGCTTTCGGTCTAGATGGACTCCTTCGTCGTTAGTTAGGGCGACGGTGAGACCGTGCCCTGAAATGAAAGTCTTTAAATCTATTGTAAGCTTAATAAACAGAAATCCTTTGCAGTTCGGTAGCTAATGTAAGTCTCGTTTTCTTTTACTAATACAACTCTTCTATTTTATTGTATTTGTATAATAAAAATGTGATACGGTTTCTGAATTTTTTTGTAGCAAAATTTGAAAAATGTATCCAACCAGCACGTTTTATTAATAGTGATATTCGTAATTAGTGATAGTTAAGTTAATTAGGGGACTGCAAAGTGTTGAGCGAGTTAAACGTTTCAAGTCTCTAGACAGTTTAGGAATTGAAATACCGATTGTTGTGATTTCAACTCGACTTATAACGGTCGATGAATCTCTTTCATTCGTAGGATCCGAAGTCTAAGTGTTCTCGTTACTGTGCCGGGATGTTGCATCAAGTAGAGAGAAAAGAAAAGCTGTTTCACACGACTTTTAAACGTTTCGAACACTAATACGGTAGATAACGCCGCCCATGCTGATCGTCAGCAAATTGCCAAAAAACAAATGAGAAAAAAACGCAAAAAAAAAAAGATGAGAGAGGGAGACGAATACTTCGTTGTGCGTGAGACGTGGGAAAATGTTGAGAGCACAAAATCACATTAGAACCTTTTCAAGGAAGGGATTAGCGAATGACGTTTGATCGCGTGTGACTGTCCGACGTTGAAATGAAGAGGGACGGAGTTTGGCGAGAGGGGAGAACGCGATCTCCCGCTCTATCATTATCGTATCTAACGCATTTAGCATAGTTTGAAAGTAAACTACGTTTTTAGCGTAAAACACCCTGGCGCAGGCCTGAAACCGTTTTAGCCCCTGTCGCAGATTTCTCCTAAAATGGTCCCAGGCCTGTCCCGGACTCGACGGAAACACAGATATCAATCGTATGTATCGAAGTCGAGATGAAACCACGTCTTTTCTTTCTTCTTTTTTTTTATGTCTGAACGTAATAATCGAATCGCTGTGTGGACTCGTAAACTATTTTATCCGGTGTATTATCCGTGTCTCCGTGTAAATAAAATAAAACTAAGACAAAAAAAAGACGGGTTGCACGAAGGAAGCGTGCCGGAGAACGAGTGCCGTTTCGCGTGTGAGGCGCGTCGAAAAAGGAAAAATTGCACGATCGGTCGCGCGTGCCACTCGATGGCACCGCGGAAAAGGAACCATTTTTTCTGGTGCTATTTTTATATGGTAATAACGGAAGCGGCGACGATTGTTGAAAGGTCGCGGGCACTCCTTCTCTAGATTCCGGGTTGAACGCCGGTTGTATAAATTAATCGATTAAGTAATGGAGATTCATGAGTTCGCGTAATGAAGGAAACAATTTTTACTGCCTTCTAAGCGATTAAACCACCCGTGCGAGGTATCGGTTGGATTCGGTCCAAGGCTCTCGCTGCCGGTTCGCCTATCGATAGCCCCCGGGTTCTCGGTCATTAAACCTTTTAGCAAGTAACGAGTTACCGCTAATCAAACGTAGTAAAAACGAGAGCAGCGAAGCCGCGCCGTTGTAATGCAGCTTCCGAATTCGCGAGAGGCTATCGGCAGGCATGATTTCAAATGATTTTCGATGTAGAGGCGTTTACAATACTTTTAAAGTAACAATTAAAAAATACGGGGATGTCGTTCGAGAGTCTCCTTGCATTCTCTTGTCTGCTCAATATTCGGGCACCGAGTGCGTGCCCTCTTTTTTGTTTCTTTCGCTGACACTTCAGCAGCCATTCCACTCGAGATTACACGGTTTCCGGGAATCGGCGGGGTGAACGACGATTCCCGAAAAACGCGTTTTCGTTTCGAAGAATGTCGAACCTTTTCGGATATATCGGATACGTGCAAGTATGCAAGAGTGTGGTGTTACATGCCATCGACTAAATGGTGTTTTTACTGACTCACCGATTGTGTTTGTTAAAATTAATTATTATTGCTATTACGATGATTATTATTATTAATATTATTATTATTATTATATTATAAAATGAGTGTATCACAGTTTAAATATATCTATTTTATATTAAATCGTGAACGCCGCTGTGAGTTTCTGTCTCCTTCGTGGAAAAAGGATTTTCCACTAAAATCGATATGCACAAGGTTTGTATAATTTTATTGTAATCTATCGATATAATTGAAATTATAATTAACACGTTAAACAATCGAGCTGTCGGATAAAAGACGTTCGATCGTTGCCATCAGCAACTGATCCTGTTATCTTTGCCCCATTTCCGCATCACTCGAATTATCTGTTCCACTTGTGAATTCGAAGTGTTCTTCAAAAGCTGTATAACTTCCGACAACAACTCCCTGAAGATAATTATTAATTAACGATTGTTATAATCAGACGTAGTGCAAAAATCAACTCACTTCGGCTGCCTTTCAGCCACGATGTACTGAAACGTTCCGCAGCAAGCACCGCGTTTTCCTTCCCAATTCTCGGGACTCGGGTCCATCCTTTCTAGCATATCAAAGGCCTTCGCCGCGTACCAAAACTCGCCGACTTTGTAGCAGTCATTCGCAATTAATTGAAGCAAGTTAAACGACTCCGTCGACGTGTCCATTCTTAAGTACAAGTCCCAGGCCAGCTGAGGCTTCTTGTTCATTATGTCTGAATCAAACGAAGATAGAATTTAAGAATATCTAATAAGACATCAAAAGGAACATTAGACGTTCTACAGTACATATAATAATCTTTAGAACGTTCCTTACAGCAGTGCGCCAGAAGGCTTATGTAAATGTAATCATTTTTATATTTCTCATTCCGTATATTCAAGAACGCCTCCTCAGCCTCTTTGAAATAGCCCGCAGCAGTCTGCGCTTGGGCGTAATTGAAATTGAAATTGTCCTCGTTAGAAAAGTAAGTCTTGATCGAATTTAAGTAGACGAGAACTTCCTCGAACTGCCGGTAAAGGAAGAAACACGAGGCCATACACTGTCTACCGGGTATCGTGTCGCATTCCGACGCCGAGGAACCGACCAGTTGAAAATACTGCTGAGCCGTCTTTATATTATCGCGCTGAAAGACGATTCTCAATTAATCTTATTACCAGCTCGAGTTCCTTATTTCACTCACCGAATTTGTCTCTTGCCCCATCACCGCGTTCACTATTCCTTTTAAAATGTATTCCTGCGGCACGGCTGGTTCGAGTTCTTTGATCAATTCGAATGCTTCTCGCACGTCGTCTTGTTTCAAATAATAAATCACTAAATTCAGCCTGGCTTCTGGTATCACGTCCACCAGATTCGGCAGAATTTGCAGCGCTCCTTCTCCGCCTTTGAACACCTGAAAACAATCCGTTTTTAAAACTCAATGTTTCCTTTGATGATGAAAAGGTGTAGCAATAAGAAATTTATACAGCATGCACTCACGACCGTGTTATGACGTATGAGATCGTGACTGAAACTGAAAGAATTGGACATTTTCTCAGTCAGTTGCTTCATCTCGTTCTGCGCGGCGGTTCCGTTGTACAAACGGAAATGATTGCATGCCTTCAGATTGATAGCGATCGCGCTGTCGGGATACTTTTGCAAATAAACCTGGAGAACCTCCTGCGCGACGTCGTAATAATCCAGTTTGTAATAACACAGGGCAACGTATACGTTCAGTGCGAAATAATCTCTGCAAAGAAAATCTAATGATTAACTGAGAATTAATTGAAATTCTTTCATTGGAAACTAGGAAATGGGATAAAAAGAAGGAGATAAGGGGAAAGGAAAAATGGGTACCTGGAACATCTTAACTCTTTGATCAAGTGCACGTCCGAGTGCTTAGTGCTCGGATTCTCATTCTCAGTGCTACTCGATTCGTCGCTATCAAAATCCCTGAAGAACATGTTTCGATTTCAAACACTAGTACCCTAATTTTGAACCGATTTTCATAATCACCTGTTCTCCAGTAGAATCTTTTTGTAAACGTCGATGGCTTCCTGATAGTGAGCTCTCAGATAGTGAATGGACGCCAGACTGAGTTGGTCCTCGATCACGTCTTCCAGCATGTGGTGGTATTCCATCAGCCTGGCTTCGTTGCCAGTCTTATGAGACAAGTGGAACAACAGTCTGTTCTTTAGTTTGCTATGCGGCGCTTCTTCCAATAGTTTCTGAGACTCAGGGTACATCCCAAGGTAGAAGTAGCAACAGGCCAAGTTCGTAGGCAGGTCCGGCGGTGTTTGCTCGCGTTTCTTCAAATTCTCGTAAATGCCGGTCGCCCGTTTGTAGTCTCCCAGGTGGAAGGCGCAGTACCCCATCCATAGTTCCGAGCTCAAAGTACTTTCTGTGGCATTATTGAATTCCAGCAGTGTCAGAGCACCCGTGTAATCGCGTTTCTGTAAGAACTCTTCTAGTTTTGGGATCCTCTTCTCCGACGCGGACTTCTTTACGCCCTCGGAAGAGGCCGGCTTGGCTCTGGATAAAATCTATCACAAGTTTCCCATGTTCGACGCGTTAAACATTGTCAGTTGAAATTAAATAAAGAAAGAATGATTAATATACGATATACTATACTCAATGAAATAATTTTTAGTATCTTAATAAATTATGTTTTTTTTAAAGAGAAGAGAGAATACGATGCACGATGCAGTGTTTACCATTTTCCCTCGCCGTTGCTAATAGTTACTGGATTTATTGATTGCCACGTGGTCGTGAATGAGAATCGTTAATCTATAATCATGTTCATTTAGATCGAACTTTAATTATTTGAACAACTATGTAGTTCATCAATAATAATTTGAAATCGTATGTCGCATTTAATAATTTCGAATTTGATTTAATCGTTACCGCTCGTAGATGTCACTTCAGCGGCGGCCGAATTCGATTATTTCGTTCGCTGGGAGGCAAAACGTAATAACACGTAATAAGTCAGCTAAGCGACAGAACCAAGGAGGTACCTCCTCTTTCTAATATGATTTTTAATTACAAGCAGGTCCAAAACTTATAAAATTAAAGGTTGTACAGAACTTTGGAGTTATAAGAATATGACTGACGAATTGCGATTCTCCTCTTGTCTTTTTAGAGGTATAAAAGGAGCATTATGGGGGAATAGAATATTATCCGTACACTTCATATAAATAAGATTGATACACATTACTCATGTCCAGAATTTATTCGTTTATACATACACGTATTATAATCACAAAGAATTTCGAGTTCCTTCCTTTAAAATTTCGAAAAACGATTGTAAATGCTCTTCTCTGCTTTCCGCGCATTGTCCATATACCGTCAATACTTATGAACGAGAATAAGTGAATCGAAAGAATCCAGACAATTTTATAGATCATCGACACTGTTGCTCGATCTGTGTCGAACGTTTCGTTACGAAGCGTTCAATGCCGATCGGACGGTGGCCGAAAAATCGACGCACCATCCATTTGGCCGAAGAAGTTTAGCTGATCTGGCCCTGATAGAAAGCAAGTTCGTTATTAGAACGCGACCGACCGTCGCGGTGGTTACATCTCGCCGGTGTTGTTTACGTATCTCGTTCCGTAATGTTGGAGGGCGTCAAAAATATCGTGTTAGTGCTCTCCGGTAAAGGCGGCGTCGGGAAATCGACGATTAGCACACAGCTCGCGCTAGCCCTCAAGGAATCGGGTTTCCGGGTGAGTACCGACACCCGATCCGTCGGGCGATTTTTAGGTTAGACGTTTTACACGTCACGATAATGTTTTAGGTTGGCTTGTTAGACGTCGATCTCTGCGGGCCCAGCGTGCCTTATCTGATGAACCTGGACGGCGAGGATGTCCACCAGTCCTCCGACGGGTATTCCAAATCATTCCCATTCTATTCCATTTTACTTGTAAATCTTGGTTAAAATACATCTAAACCTCTTTATTTTGTTTTTATTAACACAATGGAACGTTTCTTTTCTCTTCCCTTATATCGTTGTTATTTAAATGTAAATTCAGATGGGTGCCGGTGTATGCAGATAAGGAACAGAGGCTGGCTGTCATGTCGATAGGATTTTTATTAAAAAACCAGAACGACAGCGTCATTTGGAGGGGTCCAAAAAAAACTGGAATGGTCAAACAGTTTCTGACCGACGTCGTCTGGCAAGATATCGATTATTTAATTATCGACACACCGCCAGGAACTTCGGACGAACATATCACTGTGATGGAAACCCTAAGGTTCAACCCTTTACTTAATATATTCTTGTCTTTTTTTAAGTACAGAAAAAATAGAACGGCACTTTTAAATGTGTACCACATGTGTGCAAATGTCATGTGCTTCTCTCGCATGTGACCATGATTAATAATCATGTGATGTTTAAAAGAATCATATTTCTATTTAGATAAGCAATCAGCTTTGTGATTGATAAGCCCGCACGTTTTGTTTGTTCCATTCTACATTAAGAGGCGCTCCGCGCGTAACGAGCAATACAGTAGCGCTAAAATTAACATATGTTCATTTTAGAAATGTTAAGTCCATGGGTGCGATCATTGTGACCACGCCGCAAGAGGTTGCGGTGGACGATGTCGTGAAGGAAGTAACGTTTTGCTTAAAAACTGGAATACGAGTACTCGGCGTTGTCGAAAATATGAGCGGCTACGTTTGCCCGTCGTGTTCGGTTAGTATAGGTATACTCATTCGTCTTCCCGCAAGAATTGTTCACCGTTTTGATGGAGGATAATCACCGCAGGAATGTACAAATATTTTCGCGACGGGCGGAGGAATAGCGCTTTCCCAGAAGGTAAACAAACCGTTTCTGGCGAAAGTGCCGATCGACCCGAAAGTCGGGAGGCTAGCGCACTCGGGTCAAAGCGTTCTGGTAACGTTGCCCGACAGTCCAGTAGCCCAAGTGTTCCGGAAACTGGTCGAGGAGCTCACCCAGAGCAAGGAAGCATGAGGCTGAAAGATTTGATCTCTCGTCCACGGATGCCGATCTGTGGTGATCTTTAAAATTCGCACGGGCCTTCTGCGTGCACGGTCGTGCGCACATCTTTTTTTATTACTCCAACGAGGTCGGATAAGATAAGTGGATTCGTAAAGGGGGAATTGTCGTTTCGGTTTTTATTAAAAATACATATATAATATGTATGCACGCGGAACATCATACTGGGTCGTCATATGTAATGTATATACATCGAAATTTTTGTAAATTTACTCGTCGTCGCTCTATTTACAAACACGATGTTACCAATTATTTACAAATCTTAATTGTTATACATATATTTGAAAATAGAAAAAAGATATATTTATCTTCTAGTTTAATCGTTTCACTTGTCCATTCGCGAGATAAGATTCATTCGTCCGACAGTCGCTTCAGATACGCCGACCACAGTTCCTTCTTGTACTCTAAAGTAGCGGACAATTTGTCCTGTGCCTCGGTGATGCCTCGGCCGACCACGGCTACGTCGGCACCAGAGTTCACAACGGATTCTGGCGTGTTGTACTGCTGGCCCAGATCATCTGAACTTTTCGACAGTTTTACTCCGGGTGTCAACTGAACCAGTCCTAAACTCGTGAATATATTCGATTGGCAAACTAGCCCGGACACCAGGTTCGAGTTTTGCGCGATGGATACAGCGTTCTGCGCGTACTCGCCAGTCGTCAATGCTTCTTTCGAGGACATCTCCGCAACCACGAAAAGCCCGCGGGGTTCGTTTATGTCTTTCAAACTGTTCTTCAATCCGTCTACGATGCTTGGACCAGCAATAGCGTGTATCGTAACGAGATCTGTCCACTCCGCTATTTTGTAAATGCCTTTTTGATACTGTAACGATACCGTGTTCCCGATATCGGCGAACTTCCTGTCCTCCATCAACAAGAAGTCGTGCTTCTTAGCTAATTCCTTCAATCGTTTTATAAAGTCGTCGCTGAAATCTTCTATTATGTCCACGTGCGTCTTAAGTATAACTATATGCGGTCCAGTTAAATCCGCCAACTCTAGAATCTCGTCGGCTTTCGTCAAGTCTGCTGCCAAACATATGGTAGACTGTTTCGCCTCCATCAAATTAAGCAGTTTAGCGGATACCGCGTTCCTAGCTTTGCCGGCGCGAACATGGAACGGAGTCTTCAGTCGAAGTTGCTCTGTAACTATTACGGACATTTATTAATACCAGGCAGTACAATGAAAAAGACTTATCTAAAGATTAATCGTTCGAGTACTGAGTGCTTTTCTTGTGTTGTGCCAAAAATGCGAGGTGCGTTATCGAGCCCCTGTTCGTTGAAGCTGGTTGCATTCACGGAGCATACAATTTCTACTTATCTTAATAATAATTTCTAAATTTTATAATATCGCAATAGGTGATTGCTTTTCTTCCGTATGTGCGCAATCGGTTCCGCATTTTTTATACAATTTGTCGCGCTCGCGGTCAAGGAATATATATTTTACCTTGAACAGTGATGATAGGTGCTTGATACTTTAACAAGTAATCCGTCACGTCTCTTACAACTTTCGGTGTAATTTTATTCGATTCCAAGAGGTAAGCTAAGAGGGTGGTCACCGAGTATAAGCTTCTTATATGTATTCCATGATTTTTTATATTCTTCTTAGCACCCTGTTCCCTGTCGATCACTACGAAAGCCTCGGTCACTTTTAAACCCTCCTTCCTAAGACTGTGGACCGTCTCTAAGATACTGCTACCGCTTGTGACCACGTCCTCGATGATCGCACAATGATCCCCTTGCTTGTAATTACCTTCGATCAATTTCTTCGTACCGTAAGATTTGACTTCCTTCCTTTTGATCAACATCGGAATGTTCGTGTCAGCAGAGATCAAAGTTGCCAGCGGCAAGGCTGTGTAAGGAACGCCGCAGATCTGCGTGATGCCCGAGGCTTCCTCAGCCTGTTTCCACAACGTTTTCGCCAATCGGACCTGTTCCATGTTCAAAATTAAACAATTATACATTTATTTTCTATTTAATTCGTTTATTAATAACTGATTCAATAATATCGTGTTACCATCAGTTTCGGATGCGAAATGATCACCCTCAAGTCAAAATATATCGGAGTTTTCAACCCGACTTTCGTTACAAATTCTCCAAACTTCACTGCGTCTATTTCGTAAAGCGCAATCGCTAATTCCTTCAACTCGTTCTCCATAGCATTCGAATTTTTAAACATGACACCACCTGCGATTCACTTGCACGGAGGGAAATAGACGGTGACACGAGGTTCACTTTCGATGCGAAAGGTTAGCCGCTGGTTCAACGTTTTAATACCTTTCAGTTTGTACTATTCGTTTTCAAGCTGCACAGTTTGGCGAGGTATGAGAAGATGCGTGGAATGAATACGTTTAATCTAAACTAATTGGTATCAGTCTCGTGATGAACACGTGCTCCGATTTGCCGAGCAACTGTCGAATGATTGAACGATTGAAGAACGAAGAATTTCCGGACTCCGGGGCCAACTTCGCACGTATACAAAAGCATGTGGCACGTCCTCTCTTTTTATTTTTAATGCTGTCCATACGTCGCCACTATACAAGTTGGGACTAATTGTAAGTATCTTTTTTGTGCGTGCGCAGTCGGTCCGGAATCCTTTGCATCCTTCGTGTATCGCATATAAACTAATTAAAATGATTCCCGCCCCATGGTCCGCTTTCTCGATTTAGTATTTTACTCGCTAATCGATTAAAGAGAAATAGAAGTTTATTGTAAATAATACGAGTGTAATTCACAACGCCCTTTTTCTAACTGTCGTTTATTTGTATTGCAAATTTGCAAACTAGGCTCGACTTTTATTTCTTCTCTTTCTATAGACTAGATCCTTTGTAAATTGACTCCTTTATATTATTTCTATAGAATTGTTTTAGAAATATAGGCACGGTACAAAAAGTCGAACTCTTATTAATAATATCCTCTTTATTTCCTTTACTCAATATTGCTGTTGTCACAAGTGAAAACGCGTATTCGCTGAGGCAATCGGATGACGTAAAAATACATTATCGCACTACGTCCCATAATATCCAATGATAAATGCTTTCCAATTAATTGCCACGTAATTTTATTTGTTTCCCCATCCCCAAAGGCCTTTGACAAATCCAGTGAGGCCAGCCTGACCACCCTTCTTGGCCTGGTCTCCGAGTTTCTCACTCAAATCAGGGAACTCGATCATGTTGAAGGCTAAATCGAAGAACAAGGGCTTGCAAGGTATAGGCTGCATGGCGGGCGGTAGTTTGTAGACGTTCGGTTGTTTCGTGAGAAGCGCATTGTCCTCCCTGTATTCCTGTAAACGTTCGTACAACGGTTTCTTAGTTTTCGTATATTTGTTGGACTCCGGTTCCTCTTCCTGTTCGTCCTCCAGCACGCTGTGAGCATGGGCTGCGTACTTCGCACCCTCGATAGCGGTCTCCAGTGTCTGCAGAGCTTCCCGGAGCGACTCCGGGAGTACCGCGCCGTATTTTAACGCGTCGTTCATGTGCTGCCCGGACCTTTGATACAACGCCATCGCCTCTCGCCATCGATGTAAATTCGCTAACGACTGCGCCAAGTAGTAACACCTAAACGCTCTGTACGCCTTCGTCTTTGCTTCTTGCTCGCGCGCGAACTCCTCGTCGTCCTGCAGCTGCGATATTTCGACGAGATTGTGTAGTGCCGCTTCGTATAGTCGCACGATGTCCTGCGGTTTCGCTTTCGCCGATTCCTCCGCCACTTTGATTAACGTCAGATTCCTCTCCAAAGTGCGAGACAGCCGGATGTATTGGAGATACGTGATTAGATGCTGCGAAGGAGACGGCTTGTCGCTGTCCTTGTTCTTTAGCTCGTTCTTGTAGAAATCTCGCACCACCGAGATCGCGTCCTTGCAGTCTATTAAATGTGCTTCCAGCAGGTCGATCTTAGCCTGATTAGTGGCTGCTTTCTCTAGCGTCTGATTCAGTCGCGAGTCGGCGATCAGGAGGCCGGCTGCCCTCGGCGGTACCACACCGCACGATTTCCCGCGCCAGGTCACCTCCTCGGTGTTCGTCTGCTTCTCCCGCGTCTGAGCTATCAGCGAATCCAAGCTGGCCAGCAGCTCGCCGCTCAGCTGTCCCCTCATCTGCATTAAATCGTCTATGGCAGTGGTATCACCGATGTTGTAGGCACAGTATCTAAGGCTCGGGGCCAGCTCCTCGACGCGGGCGTTGTAGATCATCTGTTCCAGCTCCGGCAACGCGGAGGCCAGCTTCCCGTAAACTACTTGAGCTTTCTTCAAATTCTCCATCGCCTTCTTCCACAGTTGAAGCTCGAAGTGCAGAGACCCGTGTATCCAAGCTACGTACGCTTGTGCTTCCAGTTTCGTTCTGGCATCGCAATTAATGGCCTACAATAAGAACAGTCACGGTCAAAAGTTCATTTTATACATTAGTTAGTGCATCGAAGTTCAACCAACCTCTATTAATTCTTGTAACTGCAACGAATACGTCGCGGCTTTTCTTAGTCTCGATATCAAGTGGAACTTTTTCCTCGGTTCCGTATTCGATTCTTGACGCAATTGCATCGCGTAGCTCCAAGCACGTTCGGCTATCATTAAAGGGATTTGTAAAAATTTGTCATCGGTGACCATCGACGCAGTTATGTCTCTTCGCTTGAAATGACGCTTATCTCCTTGCGGGGCTTTCAACACTTTACGGAGCCGCCTGATCCTTCGTGAACAGTAGCCACGGTAACGTTGGTAATCACTGTGTCTCAACCCATGTTGCTGTTGTGCCTCCTTTATTATTCTCAAAACTATTTAATCGTCAAGTAGTCATACTTTTATGTGATTTATGTGGATTATTGTATGTATGCAACAGGTAACGTATTGACCAGACAAATACACAAAAAGCCCATCCACAAAACTGATTACTTTCGCTTGCAATGCGTAAGGCAACTTTAGGATGCATAATTCAATGTTTAAATGATCCAGTCAATGTTTATGTAAAATGAAGCCTTTAAACTGATACAATATATGTATCATTTTCTTTAAAGATCCAATCTCGTAATAAAATAAATGTAAAAGTGATTGCATATGCTAAGAAATAATTTTGTATGAAGTTTTCGTTTTATATAATTATTTTTATCTACATAGGCAGTCGATTAGTAGTCGATAATGACTGTAAATGATTGTTAACATTATGGAGTGACCACAAATGAGTATTAAAGAATGACATATGGTACTGACAAAACTGCCCCGGGGTGCTGCGAATATCTTTAAGAAAAGGATACTTTCCAACGAATACGTCTTTTGTTCGATCGGTACCGCATCATTGTTCGCTTGATTCTCTTTTAACGACTCACTGCTCTTCTCTTCGACGACCATCGTACCTTGACCACGTACCCAGTATTAAAATATATGAAAACAACCTCTTTAACCACGAATCCAACGATCATATGGTAACTACAATGTACGCTGAAACGTGTGAGAAAGAATTAGTACAAACGATTTGAGAAAAAAGGAGAGGACGTAATAAGAGATTGCAATTATAAATATTCACATTAATTTCTATAAATACTGTTTTTTATTTAATAATTTCCTACTTATATGTGGCCGCTTGGCGCCACTGGACGAGTTGCAGGATCTAGGGAGATCTCTAGGTCAGTGTTGGGCACCCTGTGGGATTTTTTTTAACTAGTCGTCTAAAAGACATGACCGTAATGTGGTGCCGTCTGGTAGATGAGATTATATTTGTCAGAGTTCGTATATGAATTAATGCCACACCAACAGATGACATTATTTGGAAATTGGCAGCGTAAGATTAAACAAATCACCGAGGAGATACTATTAATTTGTAATAAACATTTTTCTTGATTTCTCTTCGACAAAACATGTAAGGGACACAACCATACACAAAGTAGTCATTGGAAATTGTAGTTCTGTATTTGTTAGCGTATCCAAGTCTAACTCGTGAATTTAGTTCGGACACTGATTTTAAGTAGCCGTACCTAGGATTGATCATTTGGGCAAGGATTTTAAAATAAAAATGCCAAGATTCGTTTCATCCATTTATTTGTTAATCCAAAGTAAATCAGATATTTTCCTTATCGCAATATTTATTAGCGCATACATTAAGTT